GATACCCCGCCCCCGCCCCCGCCCCCTAGCCCCTTTAGAGGTGGGAGAAGGAGAGCGCGAGTCCAGGCTGAGTAGGTGAGGCTGGGGTTGGGGGTGGATTATGCCTAGACCTGCAGACCCTAGTCCACTGTGGCTCCGTGTATTTCCCTGCGTTCTTGGGCACGCGGCACCCTTCCGGCCACCCTCACCACGGGACTAGGACGGACGTTTGAGGTCACACGGGCGCCCGCAAAACTGTCTCTACGCTCTCAGGCCAGACGGAGGACCCCTTGAGTCCGAGGCCCCGCCTGGGCCTCACCAGGGCCGCCACAGGCGCAGCCCGGACCCCGCGCTCTCGGCGCAGTGGCGAGACGCCGGCTGCGGTGCCGAGACGTTGGTGGATGGGCCAGGGAGACCACCAGGGAGGAGGCGCCGGGTTGGCGGGGACCGCGAGCCGCGGGCGGCGGGATCAGGGCTCCAAAAGGCGGGGGCGCAGGGTACGCGCTGCGTGGGCGCCTCGGGACCGGGACTTGCGCTGTCCATGGTGCTGCCGACCGCGCGCTCGTGCACCAGGGGGCAGCGCAGTCCGCCGCCACCCTCCTCTCCAGGCCGCCGAAGCTGGCTAACGCCGGGCAGGCAGCCACGGAAGCCCGACGGGTACTCGGCTCCGCTGGGGACCGGCCAGAGCCCTGGGGGGAGGGGATCGGGCGGGACAGATGTGGAGGGTAGGGGAGAGTAGAAGAGGGGCAGAGAAAAGGAGAGTTGTAGAGAACAGAGAGAAAGGGAGGGGAGAAGTGTGGAGGGGAAAGGGAGAAGGGAGGGGAGGGGAGGCAACCTGAACATCTCCCCGGAGTCCAGACTTTCTTCCACAGCCTGCGGGCCTTTGCTGCCTCCCTCCTCCAGCGTTCTGGGCCCTCCTCACCCATCTGCCCACTGCCCAGCGCTATCTTCTCCACCGTCCCTCCTTTATCTGGCCCTGTGTTATGCAGGGCTCGCTCTGATCCCACAAGCTGCCCCCTCTCGGCTCCTCCCCGACCCTTCCAGGGCCCACCTCTACCTTGCACCGAGTTCTGAAGGCTTTTCATGTACTTGACGCTCAGCTCCAGGATGTCTGCCTTCTCCAACTTGCGTTTTCGGATCTGTGGGTTTGTGGAAAGAGCTCTTAGCTGGGCAGCCCGTGTTGGAGGAGATGAGGCTGGGGACCGTATCACCCACACCCCGAGCCCGTGTTGGAGGAGATGAGGCTGGGGACCGTATCACCCACACCCCGTCCCTGTGTCTCACCTGGTGGGAATAGTGTTTCTCCAGCAACGACCTGAGCTGCTCCAGCGACACATTGATGCGAGCCCGTCGCTGCTTCTCCATCAGCGGCTTGGAGATCTGTGGACAAGAGACTGCTGGAGGGCAAGGCCACAGCTGTCTCGCCCTTTGCCTCTGCTGGCCTGGAAGGGTCCCCACCCCGAGCTCCTCAGAACCCCAGACCTTTCGGAATCTGCCTGCAGGGCCGCCGGAGCTGCCCTGGGTCTGGGGCTCAGTGCCCATGTTATGGTATCTGTGCCCTCGAGAGGCCAAACAGCCTTTATAGGGGCCCCTCGTTTACATGTCAATGAGGCGATCCTGGACCCAGGAATCCTGAGGGGGAGGGGACAAGAAGGGGACACACCAGTAAATTCCCCACCTCCTCTGCCTTACCCCTCCCGTAGCCCAGGCTTCAGCCTTTCCTCCAGGGTCCCTCCTTCCTCCCCAGCAACCCTGTTTTACCCTCTCTCAGTGTTTCCTCTATCCCTCTCACCCCCCCCACTTCCCAAGTCTGGGGTCCCCTCCCATGCCCACTCCCTCCGTGCTTGTCCTGACCCAGTGCCCCTAGGTTCTGGGCCTCACCACCAGGCCCACTTGCCCAGTCCTTGCTGCTCTCATCTCTGAGCATTCACAGGGGCGCCCACTGGGTGGTTTGTGGGCCCAGCCAGCTTTGAGGCCCAATAATAACTATGACAGAGCACCAGGCCTCCGCCAGCTTGATGAAGATGCCGAGGTGGGGGGCAGGGCGGGGAGCACCCGCCAGCTAGGCCTTTCTGTGGGCTTCACGCTCTGGCCGAGCTGGCAACGCCGCATTAGTAGCCCTAATGTCGGGACAATGAGGCAATTTTCTGCCTGTGGCCGCTCAAAGCCGGGCACAGGCTGGGCCTGCGGGGGCCACACGGCGACATGTGTCCCATTAAAGCGTGCAGCCCGCCCGCAGGGCCGAAACCAGCCTCCTCCTCACGGGGGCCTTGGGACTGGGAGCGCTCCTGTGCCAGGATGCAGCCTGGGCTCAGGTGCCCTCTGGCCCTGTGAGGAACTTTGCTCCTCGCCGGGGAAAGTGGGGCAAGCTGCAGGCAGCCTCAGCTCAGGGCCAGTCAGAAGAGCTTTCCCCGGCCCCAGCCCGGCGCTTCCAGGCTGTCCTGGCTGGACAGAGCAGGCTCTGAGAGCCCTGGCCTTACAGGGAAGGCCTGGAGCTTATCCCCCCTCCTCTGGGTCCGGACAAATGGAAGGTGGGGGTGGGGAAGACCACTGATCACCTGAGAGCGCGTCATCCTGCACTTTCGGAGGCCTGGGACCTCAGCCTCCTCTCAGTCCTCTGTGGCTGGAGACCCAGGGAGCTCAGGGAAGGAGGCGCCTGCCCAGGACGGCCGAGGCCACGGAGGGGTTCCTGCTGTCCTGGGCTTGGCCCCCGGGCAGGACTCCAGTAGCTGTG